ACAAATCAAACAAACAAACTCCTTATCAAATCTTTCCTAAAAACTGTCAGATTTACTAAGTAAATGCTTTTGAGCAAATCTTTGTTAAGGTTGCAGCCACAATCTGCATGTATTTAACGCCTGATTTACCAAGGCAGCAGCTCATTGCATGGTCAGGTGTCAGGGGAAGGAGAGCTTAGGAAGTGCGGTTGAGTACTCAGAAAAGGAAAATCAATTGAAATCAAAGAATCATTTGTAATCTTGATTACCAAATACTTACTTTGGCTGAAAAACTAGAATACTGCAATAAATTTAGGAAAGTATTCAGTATACATCTAATCACCAGTACACAAGAAAAAAAAAAATACACGGTCAGAACATAGACTGTATTAAAGAAGTAGATGTAGCTAGCGTGATGTCACTCATTGGTTTGTGAAGTACCGCTTGAAGCCTCGAGTTTGGCACTTTGGCTGTCGCCATCTTGTTTTTTTGGAGCGAGAAGTGACCATATTTGAATAAGAGTGGATCGGACTAAAAACCTGAAGACACCCCCATGATAGTAACTTGTCAATCACAAGGTAGCATTGCCCGAAAGCATACCCTGCTTTATTGTCCATTATACTCTACATGGGAATTTACATAATGAAGATTATTTTGTATTGAAGAATACTTGAAACTAGTGATTAAGACCATAATCTCATTAGGAAAATGTTACTGTGGTAATAAATCATGTGAGAAGTAGGGTCATTTTCGCAATTCATTCTGCAAGCAATGGAGTTGCCCCCTGCCGACCAATAGGAAGAAAGCCCATTTAAGGCATTCTGCAACTGCCTCCCCTTCTGGTGGACCACCATGGGACCTTATTTCAGAAAAAATGTGAGCGGTACTTAACGACGAGAGACAAAAAACTAGCAGTCTTTGAATTGTGCCATAAATTACACATTTGACATTTGTCAATTTAAAAGATTATTTTGCAAGTCAAGAAAGCTGCATTTTGTTTTTAAACTGCTCAACTATATGACTGTGGAAATATGTAATCAGAGTGACTGCATAGGCCATGTAAGTGAAGTCATAACTTTCTCGGTCGCTAAAGCTAAAATGCCTGTGTGTATCACATTGGGACGTACTCACATGAGCAACAGGTATTACTAGCTCTTCCCGGCTGATAAAAGGACCAGAAATCGCTGGATAAAACCCATCAGGTACGATAACGTTTCATTCGCGTGTGGAACTTCGCTAAGTAGCTAGGTAGCTAGCTGGTGCTGGAGACAAGAGATATAATTCACTGAGAGGTTTCATACAAAACTAAATGTTTAACAATGGTAAACCTTATATGTGTAACTCATGGCAAAAGTCAAACATGATCTGAACCTTTTTCCTCTTTTGCCATTGACTATCATGCATATTTTCTCCAGAATAAGGTCAAATGGGGGACAGTAGAAGGAAAGGTATCACCTCTCCATTGGCTTCATTTTTCAGAACCAAAGAAAACCCCTTGATTCAGAAGCAAAAGGGAGATGAAGTGATATAATAAGACAGATCAAAGACACAAAGGGCACCGCAACAGGTAGAGGGACAGAGACAGAAAGAGCAGCAGATCCAGCAGTTCAGAGCAGAGCAGGTGGAGGTGGATAGTGTTGATATGGATATCAATACTGAGGTAAATGCAGCCATACACACTCTTAAATGACTTAACTAAAGAAAGTCAAGCTCCAAGACCAAATCTCCACGTTTGCTATATTTATTTGCATTACCACAATCACTAGTGCTCATCAATAATACCCTGATTTTGTTTTTAAATAATGGTTATTACACAAGCCTTTATTCAATGCCATGTGTCTTTTTCCCACTACAACACTCCTTGTGGCTCCTGTAAATCCAATTTGTGCTACATTTATGCCTGATTTTCAGGAGTGGAGAATTTTTTCTGCTGACAGTCGCAAATTGCATGACCTCAGTAAATCCAGCAGAATACATAATCAACACTGTTAACACGTCTCGTCTTATTATTTGTACAACCCTTTAATGCACATGCAATAAGGAGATAAACACATCTTGCAGAAACTGAAATGAAAACGCAAACTGCGCTCCAGCCTTGTGCAACTGTTTAATAAATACGACGCAAGTTTGGGGCAGAATGCGTAAAATCTGTGCCTGAAAACCCGGTGCAAAGCTGCAACAAACCTGTGCCCTGTGTGTCAGATAGTTTCTACCTTATACTGTTCTGTCATGGGCTGTGGTTTTTGAGGCCAGCATTTTCAAACACACAAGACCTTCATGTTAATCTGCTCAGATGGAGTCATTCTTGGTTGGTTGCAACATTGACCCACAGGCCGAAGATAACTGGTAAGGCAAGGCACGCATTCACACACAAAATTCCATGTGTAATCACTCAAATGGAGCAACCACGTTTACAAATTATTTTCAATTTAACTACTTTGTGGTTGCAGTGTTTCTTTATATATAGGCTATATCTGTCTGCTCAGTCAGGAAGTACTGTAGGAGTGGATTAATTGCACTTGAACTGCTCTGCCACAGTATGGAATTACTTGCAGTGCAGAAATATGCAATGCACAAAATGAATTGACTTCAGACGGCATTCTCACTGACAGAACTAATTGCCTGACAACTGTCAAACTGAAAATTCAGGTCATCGGTTTGGCGTACAGTACATTCGTGTTCTTAGAGTCCAGCCTATATGCTGCATAATCCCGTTCCTCAGGAATGCGTAGGAGGACAAGGTGTGGGCTGATGTTCATTACTTTCCTCTCTGCGAGTCGATACTCTTTCTTAGTCTTCAAGTGCTCCCATGGTGATACTATGTATACCCAAGCTGCCAAATACAGCATAATACTGTGAGTGTGTGTATGTGTATGTGTGTGTGTGTGTGTGTGTGTATGTGAAGCAAAGAACATGATATGATTAGGGTGACAGAAATGTACATCCATATCCAAGACTTCGCCTCTAATAAAATCACTAAATATTACAGAGGGTTCTTCTTTGACAACATTGTGTCAATGGCTACACTGCTACCACCACCCACTGGTTAAAGGTGTCAGTGTGTCTGCCTCGTTTTTTGAAAGCCTCTGCACAGAAACCTCCAGCAAGTGACAGCACGCTTGTTTGAAAAAAATGTCACCAATAGAGCTCCCCTCGGGGCTGAATCTAGAAACTTTCCTGCCTCAAGACACTCAGGTAAAAAAAAAAAAAAATTCTATCATGACCAGCAACGCAGCTGTGGAATGTAACTTTGACATTGGATGAGTCCACTCAAAGCCTGCAGAGAGAGATGAGTCTGGGTGCTCCAGGTCTGAGAAACATGGGGACAGAGGCTGATGTGAGGCTGATGATGGTTGCTGTTTCCCTTATGTTTACCATCATTTCCCTTCACAAACAGAGGCCAGGCTGGAAAAGGCCAGAGAGCCAGGGCCTCCAGCGTGCAGGCAGTCGAAGATGGGGGGAGCGACAGAGAGTGAAAAGAGAACTGGAGATAAGCGAGAGAGTGAGAGAGGGGTAAAGGCAATCACTGATGAGCGAGAGAGAGAGAGAGAGAGAGAGAGAGAGAGAGAGAGAGAGAGTGTGTGTGTTCGGGCTAAGCTGCCTCCAGACACCACGCGGCTCAGAGCAGATCGAGAGTGACGGCTTGCTGATTAGTCAACTCGCAGCCCCCAAGACCGGAGTCTGCATACACGCACACACACACACACACACACACACACACACACATGCGCACACATAGTTGCATAGCAGTTCATTTAAATAAACCCTGCTATTATCATTGCATATAGACACACATACATGTAAACAAAAGACAAACAAAAGTGCAGAATGTAAACAAAAGAACACTCTAATCTAAGTAGGCTCATGTCATCACAAAATCTATTTTGAGACTAATAAGTCTGCAGCGCTGTCTGCAGGTCTGCGCCGTGGCTGTGTGTGCCTAATGTGAAGTAGGTGTGTACCTTGATTACAAGTCAAAATGCATATTGGGGTTCAGTGGTTAATTCCCTGAGGCTGTTCTCATTCCCCTTTTGTACTTATACCTACAATAATGCACTATAATTCATACATAACCCATGTAATCATGAGAGAGGCTGTGATCATGTGACCCATGTGCTGCAGACTGTTCTCCCTCATGTAAGAGATGAAAAGAAGGAAGCATAGACTGTATAAAATAATAATGGACGTAGCCACTGCAACATCAACCATTGGTGTGTGGACTCCTGTTTTGAGGCCTTAAGTTTGGCATTTTGGCTGTCACCATCTTGGATTTTTTAGAGTCATATTTGGACCAGGAGCTGGAGCTAACCTGAAGGCTAGCAGCTAGCACCGTGCATTTACAGCTACAATTAACTATAATGATACTAATGCTAATGCTAATTTTTGCTAACCAAAAAAAAAAAAAAAAAAAAAAAATCAGGCTTAAAGCCATTAAGACAAAACGTACTTACAGGAAAAACAAAATATCAGTTGTATAAACATTCACCCCTGTATAGTTTTCATGAAGGGGGAAATTAGCTACAGAGACCAGAACCATGTTTTTGGTACCAGGCTCTAAAGATGTTTATTTCTGCTGTAAAGTTGGGCATTTTAACTTGAGGACCTATGGGGACTGACTCTGATTTGGAGCCAGCCTCAAGTTCGAAACTGCAGTTTTTGGCACTTCCACCTTGGCTTTATTCGTCAACCCCAGAGGTTGCTGCTTGAGAGGAAGTCAGGTACCATAGTGTAAAGAGCGACAAAGTTCACAAAGAGAGGTGGTCAGAGTGGTGGATGGGTCAAAAAAAACCACAGGACTTTGACCCAGGAGACTGGGGTTCATGTTGCATGCGAAAGCAAAAGCCAGTGTTGTTATTCTACATACGTCACCTAACCTTGTCAGATCTCGTTATGTTAGGTGCCTAAGGTGATGACACCCAACTATGATTCTTTTCCTCAACCTAACCTAACCTAACCTAACCAATATGGGCCCTAATCTGTAAGACATCTTATGAAGCATTGCATGAGGATAAGTTGATTACCTTAAGGAGATAGACAGGGATGTTGCTGAAGTCCACAGGGAGTTTGAGAAGGAAACGAGCTGAAAACTCTCCCGTCTGTAGAACAAGTAACAAAAGTAAAGAACTTAACCAGGTGTATAACATACAGATCATACAGTACCAATGAATGAAAAAAGATGCATTCAACATATTAAACATGTAAAACTGTTTTTACAGTGGACACTGAAGAAGAAGAAGCTAAAACATTTTGTTTACGTTGCATTTAGCTAAACTTGCAATGCCTTTTGTATCGAGTGCTTCATTTTGCACGGCTTTCACACGCTCAAACAAGCCTAATTAAACCTAAAGGTCTCCTATGTGGGAGATAATATCTTGTACAGTCCCTGCAAAACATTTTTTTCCACGTTGCCTCTCAGGGCTTCAGTAGGGTACTGACTTCAGAAAAACACTAGTCAGGCCGTTCATTTGGTTAATTATTGCTTTCGTTAGGTTCACGGTTCATTAGCAAAATGTTATGTCAACATACCTGTGTTCAAATACACATGGTCTGATAAAATACAAACTCTGTATTTTGAAGCGTTTTATATTTAGAATGATTTCAAGGTCTGCTTCCTTTAATAATATGTCAATGTATGCAGTATGATATACCAAACCCAATAACTAACTCGAACTGTACAAGATAGTTTTGGTGTTAAATTGGATAATGTGGTGTTTATACATTATTGTTATTGTGTCCTCAAGAATGCACTCTCTCTGTCTCTCTCACACACACACACACACACACACACACACAAACACACACACACACACACACACACACACACGCACACACGCAGATAACAACATGATGGCACAATAATCTGAAAATCATGTGTCATGGGGCAGCATAATGTTCCAGATCAAAAACACATGATTGTGATTCACACTAGTTGTTTTATTAAATCAGGAAATTTCCCACATACCATATTGAGTACAATGCTGTATAAAAACTGAATTCTGTAAATACTAGTTATTTAAATAATTGCATAGGAGTATCAAGTCAAACCTTGCTCACATCATTCCAACTTGTCTAAACCTTTAACGATCACAAGTATTTAGGTTCTCAACTCAGGTCTGGCCAAGATACAGGAATAACATTTGAACAATGTTTCTAGGGTAAAACTGTCCTTTAGGTTTTCTGTTATACACATGACCCATGGTTTTGTAAAATGTAAGACAACAAACATAAAGTCATATAACAGTTACCTACCCAGCTGTTCTTGCGTCCAGCATAAATCTCCATGTTACGGCCATAGCTGGGATCCTCCAACAGACTGTCATACTCAAAGAGCAGCCTGGAGCTTTCGCGCAGACGCTGGCATTGGTAGTGATGGTACTGCTGGATAAGCTCCTTCACCAGCTGGAGCAAACATTCTGGGTCTCCAGCATCCCACTGGACCAAGTGCTGAGGTAGACACCAGAAAAGAGGCATAAGGAAAGGCACAAGACGTGCCATTGATCTTTTTTTAAACATGTTAACATGTTAGAAAATAAAATCAATACACCATCATTATAATATCGGAAGCAAATGAACTGAGAGGATTAGCAGCCTTATTTGGCATCCTCTCCTTTTATGTTGTGGCAGATCCTCTGAACTGAATTTAGGCAAATGAAGAGATTTCAATATGGCATCAACAACGAACAGGGTGCTATGCTTTGAGAACAAACTGAGATTAAGATTGTAAGATTTTATTGTTGTCTAATGGCAACATCCTGATAAAACACACCAGTCAAAGGGAACATTTGTTGAACAATGTTGTGAATGACTAACAATTGTCTTGAACATGGAATCCATGTTTCCAGTATTAAAGAAAGGCATACATGTTGTTGGATCTGAAGAGGTGATCAGTTTAAATGTATTTCTCTGTTTATCATACCACATATGAGAAATGATTTAGCGAGCTAGCCACCCAACTGTCCCTCCACTTTGCTTTCCGCCTCTGTGGACTGCTTATCCAGAGACGGACCTTCGGTTGGCGGCTGCAGCAGCTCAAACTCGGCCAGCACAAACCCCCACAATGCCTTGTGTCAAAATGGGCCCGTGGCCAGCAGCAGCACTGGGTCTAATGGCAGCAACATAAAGTTTGCCAATCTGACAGGGAGTTGGGGCTGTCCGGTCACTTGGAGCTGAGGTTTGCACTGGCTGGATTCAGGTTGCCACAGCTGCTGACCGGGGGGTCTGTCTCTGGAGCTGCTGCCCGCTCTCCTGCTGGTGAAGTAATCTGTAGCGGCGCGAACTGAGGCGAAGGACAAACTCAAGGCTCTTGCCAATGTTAGCTACATAAATGTGAATCTGAAGCTGCAGCTGTGGCTCTGGTTAGGTTAGCAGAAGCCTGCACTATTAGCAACATTTGATCTCGATCTTTGAAATGCTTTGCCAATACTGACACATTTTGTTTCCTTTATTGTAGCCTCTTCTTTAGACTCTCTTTTCGATAAGACAACCTCTCTAATTTTGAGTTGCTAATGCTGAAGTAACAACTTTCTCTGCAGGATTCTCCACTATTGCATCAGGCTTTCACCAAAAGGACGTGCATGTGCATCTGCATATGTAGAACAGCCAGAGTGAAATCTCTTTCTCTGAAATGACTTGTGATTGGTCAAAGTCTCACATCATGGGCAAGATTTTCTAAAGCCTGAGAACAAAACCAAGAGGAAGTTAAGAAGTCTAGTGTTCTCTCAGACCACATGAATTACAATATGCTATGTTTATTATTGCCCAATTATTCCAAAATAAAACTGCCTACCCCAGCTATTAAGATTGCAAATGACACTTGAGACAACATTGGAAAATACTGGAGATTACTAAATGGTAGTAGTATAGGTGGTACAACATGTGCTATGGTAGCAACTGGGAAGATCTTGGTAAAGGAAGAAGGACTGTGCCTGGCAGAAAACTAACGTCACAGTAATAACCTAATCCTGGCTGCCGGTATTTCCCATTACCAGATCAGAAGGAAAGGGTTGTGCAAAAGGATGTCCTGTTTCCACAGAGATTTAAACTGATATGGAAAAGTACCGAGCCTGACCTCCTCTATCTACAACTTATCTGACCGCTGTTGGCATATCTGATGAAGGTGCGCTTTGTGACATGGGAATGAATATAAAGTATGTCACACTTTTTATTATAATGCAAAAATTTTGCAAAACTCAAAAATATTTGAGTGTAATACTCAGTGAGTGTATATTGCTTGTCTGAATGCTCCCTGGTGTACTGCACACAGACTTTCCCTCCTACAATCTCAGTTTCAGCAATCGTCAACAGCACTTGACCGACTGTCTGAGGCCAGAAACCAATATGCAAATACACAGGACAAAACTAAAATCATATGCAACCACCTGTCACATATGAGTAAGCAGAACAGACCAAACGTGACTCTCTACCAGGCTAATTCTACCAAGCAGAAATTTTTCCTCTCTTAAGGGGAACCTGTGTATTGGTGCGTGAGGAATAAAATGCTCACAATTAATATGAGCATCACTGTGCAAAAATAAATTACAGGAAACATGTCAGGTCTAATAAAGACAAATGGATGGCTGAGCTCTTGGGAATGAATGCTTTGAAAGCTTTATAATGGAGAAGTACAACAAGCAAATCATGACCAAAAAAAAAACCAACAACCATAACTGGCTTGAGGAGTTTCTGTTTGGATTTTAAAATGAGTGTGCTAATTTAAAGAAATTTATTTTGCCTCGAGAAAATGGCACCTTGGAGAGCTGGCACTTTTCAATTACAGTTTTCACACAGTCATTACATTTTCATATTGACATGATTTGATGTACCCTGTTTCAAAAGGAAGGTAAGATTGAACATGCTTGTTTTTCCCCCTGGAAGATGGAAGTGATAGCAACAATATATGAGATACAAAGAGTCGTAAGAACAGTAGTTTTGGGGAATGATGTCGGTCTCTGCAGCCCTTGCGTCCTATAAAGTGAAAGTGATTCATTCCGTAAACTCATTCTGAAAGTGAAATACTGCTTGCAGAGTCATACTCTGCAAGCTGATGACATAACTACAACGCCAAAGTAAATGTGTAACTACAGTTCATCATCGTTTCTCCTTGCTGTAGAGCTCAAGCCAATTAAATACAAGTCAACCTAACTGACGAGGAATCGGATGAAAGGGCCATTTTGGTGTGTGGGAGGGAGGATTAATATACGCTGGAAATACTGTAAAGATTAATACCCATTACATGAAGGTAATGAACACATCGGCTATCAGTCTGGCAACGGTTTAGCCTTAGAGAGCAACAACCAATATTTCAGGGGTTCCGGTGTAGCCAGCAGATATCCGGGCAAAGACTTCCTCTTGCGTGGGCGGGTCATTGTTTACTAATCTCTATAAACAGATATCTGCATATGAATGCAGATTCTGTTTTAGAAGAGCTAATAGAAAACTGCTGTTAGACGACAACCGATGGCTTCGGAGACTGCATTTCGGCCAACGCGTTCCACCTCTTCTGCTCACCACATGGATCCCGCTCAAACATGATGGGTCAAAACACTTCCGATACCAAAATCTTGTCCCGTTGCCTACAGATTCTGCATTCATATGGAGATATCTGTTTATAGAGATTATGAGCAGGATGTCTTTGACTTGCAATAGCTTGTCTTCCTCGCTGTCTGTCTTTTTGTTCGGCTGTCTGCCTGTCTGTCTGGCAGCCCGTATCAGCCTCACGGAGAAAGCTTCTATTGTTTATGAAGGGGGGGGGGGGGCAGGGGGCAAAGACATACCAGGCTAAACAGAGACAGTGACCTCATCGTCCTGATCCACCAGTGGTTACCAGCAATGCCGGGATTCCCGAAACGAGGGGGCGATGCAAACAAGGATGGGCATTGTCCAAAAGAGGCAGTCAGCGCTCCGGGGCAGGAGTGAGCTGAAACTGAGGAGAGACTGAGGAAGTGCTGTGTCAGGATTGTGACACAGAATATCAGTGAAACTCCACTGAGGAGGAGGAGAGGCAGGGAGGAGAGATCAGTAGTGGGAGAGGGGGAAGCAAAAAAAAAGCTGTAGAGCTCAGGCATGCAGGCCAAGGCCAATGAAAACAGGCTTCAGTTTTCGTTTCACTGGCAGGTACTAATGACACTGTAAACAAAACTGAACTTTATAATAAAATACAAGAGGAGAGCTGTGGTACAAGTTTATTACTGTTTAAATGATGCACTTGTAATGCACATATGTGAGGCAGAGATTTGTTTACCCAACTGAAAACTGTTGCTGAGAAAAAGCACAGGAACAAAAAATGTTCCCGTATGTTCGAACAGGAGTGCAGCAGAAACACTCCCTCAATAATTACAGTTAAGGTTTCCTCATGCTCAGTAGTTAACCTCAGCTGCTCCAGTGGAGCTGCTCACTGGCCAATGACAGAGGAGCTGAGCCTGCACTGGGCGACTCCCAGGTGAAGCAGAGAGAAGGAGGGTGAAACAGGGTGAAGCAGGGTGTTGCTGAAAGAGACCTAAGTTGACTTCTCCCAGTATAGACAAAGTCAACTGTATGTGTGCTGTATGTGCACTGAAATTAGGGTTGCCAAACAATTAATGGGCAAAACTTCAAAACTTTTCCATCCATTTTCAAGGATCTATAACAAAAACTTCCATGACCATAGAAGCAGAGCAGCAGCAGAGCTCACAGTTTTGGGGAGTGACAGCCAACAGTTAGTTAATTTGTTTGAGAAAAAAAGAATGCTCTGTACTGAATTACCATGCCCTACTTTCAGATCAGTTAAAATGATATCAAAGTGAGCATTAGTTCTCTGAGTGAGAATTGAAAGCCATGAGCTGCCCATGCCAATTGCTCAATCTCAAAAAGGCAGTACAATTTAAAAGTATTACTGGGGCACAGGTATGGAAACTTTGGGATTCATGGCCCAATATGTTCAATGTTCAATGGAGAAATAGAACGTGGAAAGAAAATGAAGAAACATAACTGATAGTAAATAAACCCATGGCTACATAGAGCAGTGCTGCATTACATCAACAGGTACAGAAAATGGATTTGCCATATGTTACATTACGTGAAAAGTTATTCACAAAGAATTACTATTACAATTAATTTAATTACACGCAAAAAAATTCCATGACTTTTCCAAAACTTTTAAAATTTCCCTTTTTCCAGACCTGGAAAACAACACTGGGGAATTCCATGACTTTTTGAGGTTTTCCATGAGTGTGGGAACCCTATAGGGATGTCCGTCAACAGTTAATGCTTAAGGGGTTTTGCAGCTGAAAATGAAGCCACTTACTCAAGGGGCAACAAGGGGGAAGACTGGAGGGAAGCTGCCGTGTCTCTGCAGCACGGCCGACCAAGTGGTGGTACAGCATTACTAGCAGTAATCTTCGAATGAGCAGTGCCGCTAGCTAGCTCCCACCTGACCCAGGTAGTGCAGAGTGCAGAGTGGTCAAGGC